AGTTTATAGGTCGCTATAACTGTTCAGCCCAACTACTAAGATGAAAAGCAATTGTACACCTGGCTTAGCTGTTCAGCCCAACCGCTAAGATGAAAAGCAGTTGTACACTTGACTTAGCTGTTCAGCCTTATCACTAAACTTTTTCAACTAACAAGTAAGGTTGTAATTATCTTTCTGACTGATTTGGCTAAAGATATTATAGATAACAATTTTAGCTATGTTTCCATATAATTTTTTCCTTAGTTTATTAATAAAATATATTTTAGATATAATTTATACATAAATCAGCAAAATCAGTCAATCTAGCCAATTCAACCATACATAACTTGATAAATTTTATCAGAACCAACCAATTCGACTAATTTCATTGTTACTAAACAGACTCTATACCATCTAGCGGCGTTTATACGTAGTGCTATTTTTTAATATAAAATGTAAAAAACCAAGTTTCATACTCCGTATATTCATTCAAAAAAAAATTACATATTTATATATGACTAAAGGGAAAATCGCACTTTTAGTCCCTGAAATAGTCACGAAAATGAAATGCCGGACCTGTATTCCCAAGTTTGAAAATATTGTCCATCAACTGTCCTAAATGCTGTAAATGTGGTCCTTTTAGGGGTGAAATATACAATGTGGGCAATGGTACATTTCACCCCTTAAAGGACCACATTTACAACAATTTGGACAATTGAAGGGTGACATTTACAATATCAGAAATACGGGTCCGACATTTCATTTTCGTGACTATTTCATGGACTAAAATTGCGATTTTCCCATGACTAAAATAAAGAATGTTTACAAAAATATGTCTAGTGACTAGAGACTAGTAATAGAATCATAGTAACTTGTGTTTAATTTTTAAACATAAGTTACCATATACGACACTATATTGTAGTAACTAACTAACTATTAGTCACATTTATGTAAATAAATTTGATTTTGATAATATTTTTGAAAAAAACTACTACCTCCGTATCTAATTAATAGACCTGTTTGCTTATTTACGTAGTTTAAGATAATTACGGAAGCATATATGAAAAGTAAGATGTTTTTGGTATTGTAGCAATACTGTAACGATCACTACAAGAAAAGTGCACATAGACCGCACATAGACCATTTTTTTTTTGCGATGGCCGCATAACTGTCATTAAAAACACTATTAACCACACATTTTTTTATTCACCACATACAAAACTGTGGTAAAAGGTCAGAGACGACAGTTTTTAACTGTGGCCAATGTTTTTACCACGACTGTTGTGGCGACGCACGTAAAACTGACGCAAAACTGTCGTAAATGTTCCTCCTTATATTTTTACGACAGTTTTACGTGCGTCGGCACAACAGCTATGGTAAAAACATTGGCCACGGTTAAAAACTGACTTCTCTAATCTTTTACCACATTTTTGTGTGTGGTAAATAAAAAAATGTGTGGTTAATGGTGTTTTTAACGACAGTTATGCTGCCATCGCAAAAACAATTGTGGTCCATGTGCAGTCTATGTGCACTTTTCTTGTAGTGGATACTGTAGTTGGTTTTTGAGTGTATTTCTTTCCAAAAAGAAAATGAGACAATTAATTTGATACGTCCCAAAAAGGAAACTGGGACAACTAAATATATACGGAGGGAGTATATTCAAAGCAGAAAAAGACTAGTGTAAATGAAAACCACACCCAAACACTAAGATGTTTTAATTGGACTTAAATTTTCTGTTCTAGTGTGGTATGATTTGGTTTGATTGAACTGATCTGATCTGTTAAAGTCTGGTCTGGTCTAAATTAGTCAGGTCTGATAAATGTCGATCTAGCATTTGTGTATTTTATAACTGTTGAAGTATGGTATATGGTCTGTTTAAGTATGAGCTGGTCTGGTCCGTTTAAACATGGTCTAGTCTGTTCTGACCTGATCTAGGACTGAAAACATTCCAAGAAAAAACATCATTAGAAGAAAATCTTCTCCTATTTTCTTTCATATTTATTGCCACACCATCTTATCTCATTAATAAATAAATGAATAAATAATCTTTTCAGCATGCTTTATAATCTATTATAATATCTGTTCTAGTTAAATGCATACCAACATCCTTAGCTAGTATGGGTTTCGATCTTGTTTCTAGGGAATGTAAAAAATGTTTCTAGGGAATGTCAAAAATAAATAAATAAATAAATAAATAAATAAATAAATAAATAAATAAATAAATAAATAAATAAATAAATAAATAAATAAATAAATAAATAAATAAATAAATAAATAAATAAATAAATAAATAAATAAATAAATAAATAAATAAATAAATAAATAAATAAATAAATAAATAAATAAATAAATAAATAAATAAATAAATAAATAAATAAATAAATAAATAAATAAATAAATAAATAAATAAATAAATAAATAAATAAATAAATAAATAAATAAATAAATAAATAAATAAATAAATAAATAAATAAATAAATAAATAAATAAATAAATAAATAAATAAATAAATAAATAAATAAATAAATAAATAAATAAATAAATACAGTGTAAATTACACAATTAAAAGAGAAATGACCAATTTAAGAGAGGAACTGATGAGGGGCCATCCAAGGAAATTGTGATACCTGACAGGGATCAAAGTTGGACAGCACTGCAGCTGCTAGCAAATTAAAAAGGGAAAGGAGTAGGGCAGTTAAGAGCCAAGCAACAACATAAGTACATAACATTAGAAAGAAAAGAAAGCAAAAGCTGCTAATAATTAAGAACAAGAATTATCATTTGTTGTGTCTTTGCTCTCACCCTAGCCAGTCTTCTTCATTTCTACCCTTTTTCTACCATGTTTGTGGAGGAATTCCTTCTACTGCTCCTCCTTTTCTGCTTTTTGACCGCACCTCACTTTTTCTTGTTTATGGATGCATGGTTCTTTATATATTTGACCAATTGACCAAGCCTTACTTTTTCTTGTTCTTGGGGGATCTTTGTACCTTTAATTTCTTATTTGTAAATATTATTAAGAATTATCTTGATATGGTTTTCTCACTCTTTCGATCATTGGATTATTTATAACATATGTATGATCTTATTTATAATCCATAGAAGTTGAATCTTAACACAATACGGAGTAATAAATTGAAAAGGTGTACTAAGTTGAACATGCCTTCTTTTACAAATCAGTTGAAAACAATAAAATAGTAGTATGATTTAGATTTTCTTAAGAGATAAAAATATTATGAACTACGATATATTCGTTTTCTTAAGCCATAAACAACTGTGTAACAGAAGAAATATTCTACTGTTACGAAAGCTAACAATCAACAACAGGGCCTGCTCTAGCTAGCGTTTTGGAGGCCCTAGGCGGAAAAATTTTAAGGTTCACATATCATATTAAAGGTAATTTCTATAACAAGCAATCATAAGAAAATAAGATAAATACAAACATAGCATACATTGTGCACTTTAAAACAATAAAATTTTATATGTAACATACGTAGCATATAAAATGCTCTAAAACGTTTACTTCTAAATAGGCAGTTCTCCTTACATTTTGAAGTGCAAAACTAGTAGGATCGTCACTACAGTCAACACTCAAAACTAACTTATACTACCTACGCTCTTAAATAAGTGCAAAATGTTGAATTTTACACTATTCACATATTTGACTTTGACTACGTTTTATTTATTGATGTATTAATATTTTTTATAAAAAAATATTGTTAGATTTGTCTCATTGTAAATTTTCAAAATCTGATTTTTTTTCTTTTTTGACTAATAGAGAATTATATATATTAATGGTCAAAGTTGTACATCGGAAAATGTGAAAAGTTGATCGTTGCATTTATTTAGGAACAGAAGAAGTACTTTTTTTCTCAATAATCCATATATTTAGCATATTTATACATATAATTAATAGAAAAATTATCATTAACAAATATGTAGTAAAAACTAACTATTACAGTTATAATTATAAAATATTAGTCACCAACTAACTATATGATTAATAGGATTAAAAATATAACTATAAGTGCAAAACGATTAACAATAATTAGTACAAACAATCATTACATACGTAAAGCATTATGAAGTTGTTAATTAAAAAAGGGCATATGATATGATCGTGAAGAAATAAAATCAGGACAGCAATATATATAATTAGGCAACTAGAATACTGTATATATTTAAACATGAGCTAAAATGAGGCCCCCAAATATCAGAGGCCCTAGGCAGTGGCCTACGCTAACTGCCCTTATGGCGGCCCTGATCAACAAGAGCCTAACTCCATTGCTGAATTGTAAAGGGAGAAGATACAGTATTGAATGAAAATGTCAAACTGAGCTTTATTCAATTTGTTAGACATACAATTGTTAGCTTATCTCCAGTAATGTTTATATACAGAGTCAATTTGTTAGACATACAACCAGCTCAACTAATCTGCTAACTGTCTGACTAAATGACTAATACTAACGGTAGTGAGACTACCGTTACAAACTGTTTTTTAGAGGATAAGAACAAAGTTTATAAATAAAATATATAATAGAATGTAACAATACCATGTCTAAGGTAATAGTCCTTGCACACAATTAATGATCGTATGGTATCAGGTAATTATTAATTAAATGTTTAATAAATCTACCGCTTAGTTTATATTATAAATTATTTTGCATTACAAATTGTTGATTTCTTCTTTTTTCTAAAGAATATATGCTAATCTTTCAATGTTTTACAATACATAATCGATATTGAAAAAAAGGTAACAAGGAGTAACAAGTTCAGGATTGAAGTGTAGTTCCTATTTCTGGTTTCAAGAACAATTTTAGTCTTTGTGAATATTTGGGAAAGGGTTACCCAATGGGAGCCCTGGCATGTCTATTTATATTAAAGGAGTTTAATACATAATAGGAAACAAATCTCCTAATAATATTCTATTACACCCCCTCAAACTGTGCGCAGGTTGTCCTTCAAAAAATAAAATTGCTGATTAGAAAGGCTCTTGGTAAAAATGTCAGCTAACTGCAACTGTGTGGGAATGTATTTCACAACTAAATCTCCATGAGCCACACGCTCTCAAACAAAATGATAGTCTATCTGAATATGCTTGCTACGGGCATGTTGTACTGGATTAGCAGTCAAATAATAAGCATAGATATTATCACAAAATAATTGAACCGGTGCAGTAACGGGATAGCCGAGTTCAAACAATACAGAACGAACATGTAAAGTATCCTTAACAGTGTAAGCAATAGCTCTATACTCGGCTTCTGTAGAGGACTTGGAGACTGTAGGCTGCTTCTTGGACTTCCAAGAGACAAGATTCGAGCCCAAGAACAAAGGAAAGTCAGTCGTGGATCGAGACGTATCGGGACAACCTGCCCAATCAGCGTCTGAATAAGCAATAACACAGGTTGCCCGAGATGTAGGCTGAAGCCACAAACCATGATCAAGAGTCCCCTGCAAGTACCTGAAAATTCTCTTGACTGCAAAAAGGTGAGTAGTACAGGGAGCATGCATAAACTGAGACACTAAATGCACAACATAAGTAATATCCGGTCTTGTCAAAGTTAAATATTGTAATGCACCAACCATACTACGATACTCAGTGACATCAGCAAGAAGTTCCCCATCAGTGAGAGATAAAGAAGTGCGAGTAGTAAGCGGAGTACGAACCGACTTAAGAGTATGGAGATGAAAGCGGAAGAGAAGGTCAGACACATATTTATGCTGAGAGAGAAACAAACCTTTAGCAGAGTGGACAGCCTGGACTCCTAGAAAATAATGAAAATCACCCAGATCTTTCATTGCAAAATGCTGAGCAACAAGCTGAATAAAAGAGGTGATAGCAGCGGAAGAATTGCCAGTAATAATGATGTCATCAACATATAGTAATAAATAAATGACATTATTATTCTGGCGAAAAATGAATAATGAATTATCAGACTTGCTGCATGTGAAATGATGAGATAGAAGAAAACTACTAAATCTGTGAAACCAAGCTCGCGGGGCTTGCTTAAGACCATAAATGGCTTTTCGCAAACGACACAAATGAGTAGGAAACAAAGGATGAATAAAACCCCGCGGCTGACGCATGTATACCTCCTCTGTAAGATGACCATGCAAAAATGCATTCTTAACATAAAAAAAAACCTAAGCTCTTGATACCATGTGAATATTTGGGAAAGGGTTACCCAATGGGAGCCCTGACATGTCTATTTATATTAAATAAGTTTAATACATAATAGGAAACAAATCTCCTAATAATATTCTATTAGTCTTTAAATAGATGATAATATAAAATTAAGTCATATGTAGGACAACTAATACTCTCTTTTTCTAAATTATTTGCTCCGTCTATTTCTTCCCGTTTACCCCGAAGTCATTTTATTCCTTTTCTAAAAAATACTCGTGGGGCAATTCAAGTCTTATAATATGATAGTTGACGAATTTTCAGTTATTGGTTGATTAATTATAATTGTAAACCATTGATCAAATTAATTATATAGTTTGGCAATTCCTTTTCAAAAAAGAATATTACTCCGTACCTCCCTTCCAAAATACGCACTCCACCCCAATTTGATGTTCTCGCTGCGGTTTATGATGATAGACGGACGATAAAGCTAACGGATTCATATCCGCACTCAAACTATTTTTAGACAAAATGTTACATATTCAAAAATTACATTAAAAACTTTACAAAATCGCAAAAATCAGAATCAAATTTGATAAAAATTTGATATATAAAGTAAACACTACTACAATTTTAGGCCTAATGTGACATTAAAGATGTAACATATTTATAAAAGTGTTACATATTTCTCTAATGTGACTATAAAGTGTTACTATAGGTCAAATGCAACATGGACAAATGTAATGGTAAAAACATATTACATACATTTTCTCTAATGTAACACTTTTCGGTGATATTGTAACACTTTTATGTGATACATTAGGAGTTGAATTGTTGTAATGAAAAGATTAAGAGTGATTTGTGTTAATCAAATGAATATGAACTTGGAACATCAAATTGGGACCGAGGTAGATAGGTAGTAATATATAGTTAACACTTTACTGTGCACTAATCAACACAATTCGCTTCTAATCCTTAATTCTACGTAACAAAATTCTATTATATTTGAATTTCAATTTGAAGATTTTATAGAGCTTTTTAAGTGGTTATGAATATGTAAATTCAAATTTCTAATTCATTAAAAAGTTACAACGGAGAAGTTTGTTTTAAAACGGGTCAAACCTCAAAATCATAACTTTCGTTTTGGAACTAGTGAACTACTATCAAATTCACAATGCTATTTCACTTTTTTTTTTATAAATCTCGTTGCACAACTTTTATTTATAAATTTTATGCTAATCAAACTGGACAAATATCACTTGATGATAACCTCTCACTTCCTTCTCTTCGTGGACTTGGCTTTTTGGTTAAAAACAAAATTGAAACCCCTTCTGATATCTCTCATCTTTTTCATCAATTACCCATAAATACCACCTCTCCACCATCTATCATCTCTAACACCATCTCTCCCTCCTCATATCCTACCCAGAGAAAAACATTCTCTGTACTAGCTGAGTCTCCATCTTTCCACCAAAAATATGTCAAGAAAAATTAGCAAGAGAGTGAGCTTCAGTCCAGAAGGCTACCATGAAAAACCAATACAGAACAAACTCTACAAGAACAAGAACAAAAAGAGTACTATTATGGAAGAAGGACAGTCTCCATCCTGGTCGTCGGAGTTTTCGGCCGTGAGATTTCTGAAGCATATCGGAGCGAATATGGTACGTCTCGTTTCGAGTTCGGAACGAAAGAGACGGTGCTCTCGGAAGGTCTCCTCGGCAAGCAGCAGCCAGCTCGGAAGGTCGAGATCGTATGCAGAGAGATCAATGGATTCCCAGAGAGCAGAAGCCATTGAGGACTGCATTGAGTTCTTGAATTCTTCTTCGTCTCTCTACCGCTCCAGCTCTGTCTCCAGTTCTTGCTGCGGCGGTTATAATTAGGTTTCTTCTTTCCAACGTAGTATTGTAGTACTAGGTTGCTAGCTAGATTCCAAAGCAACGGTGTAAATCTGCTACTTTGCCCTTAATTAGTTCCTTCTGTTGCTCTAATTTGCCTGTGAAATATGAATGATATGTGACCAAATTCGTTCTTTAATTAGTTTCTTCAAGGAATATTATCACTCCAAGACCCTAAAGTTGATGTTGTTATCGATTTTGGACCCGAAATGATAATTGAAATCAATAAGGGACTTGAAAGTTCATAATCTATCGATTCATAACTTGAAACGTTAACATCGATAATTTGCTCGCAACGAAATATGATGTGGCGCCACGTAAATTAAAAATTGATACAATTATTAAAAACATATGGTGAGTCGGATATATAGAAGACAAAAACTCCATAAATCACTGCAACCGTCTTTTGATTACACACAGAGACGTCTTCACGCACAAGAAAAAAGTTTCTTCACAAAGAGTAATTATTTTATTGACTTGGGAATATTATGGAATAAAGCAAAATGACTTACTAAATTGTTTGTACGTCTTTGTTATGAAGCAACCGCCAATCCATGCACTTTTGACGCAATTTTCACTATGGATCATCTTGAAACAATCTTTCTATACTTTAGTACATGAGTAAGACTGTGTACATCAAACCACTCTTATCCCACCGAAGGTATGAGAGCCTTTGCGACATTTAGATAATGATGATGACTATTTCATCTTCACAAACTCTTGTTATTTTCAAATGACTCTGCAAATTCTATCGAACAAGAAAGCTTGAACCATAATCATCATATAATTTTTTAAAACCCGGTTTTCGTCCAAAGAATCCAAAAATTCTTTGGGGTAAGGGCCAGGAAACACCCTACCTTTTTATTAGATAGAATCATGATATTATATTTAACCCTAACTCTCACTTATCTTCTTATTGTTTGATTAATTATATTCTGATAGATTCATAATTTAACTATTGAATATCTCATCAAAACGAGTAGAATCATATCTAGGATGCCTTCTTCACTCCAAATACTGCAAACAAGATTTTATTTAAGGTAATCAAGCTAAAATATATAAATACCCTAGTATTTAATGCAAATCTTGATTATGAACTATGTCATACTATACAAAGACATAAAGAAAAGAGTGTACAATATATAGCCGTATAATAATAATTCTTGACATTGTTTGTTTTCAGGTAAGGGGTTATTGCACTCTGACAACTAAGTTGAAATATCTATTTATTGCAGAATATAACTATAGAAAATCTTAGTAGTCCCATATATTGACCCATCCTCAACATGCTAACCAATAATTCAAAAATAAGTAATAAGGTAAACTTATAACATGCACTGACATTCAGTTACAAAGACATGATAAAGCCCACCTGCAAATAAACCATCATTAGTGAAAGTAACAATCATGGAACATAAACACTTAACCAGGTTATTTATATTTTATGTAACATGAGCATGAACAATGTACTCAACGTTATTTTTTGTTTTGTTTTTTCACGTTTAGGTGTACAAACAATAAACAATGATTACTATTAAAGCTTAAACATTTTAAGGTAATATTTTTTTTCATGAGGGTTAGATGAATGGAGCTTAGATGAATATCACAGTTATATGATAATCAACCAACCAGTTACTCACCACTCATAATTGATAGCGCTGCTAATAATAATATAAGTGAGGCAATTGACATCTCTGATTTCTCTAAGCCACTTGTGATACAATCTTTGATAGAATTGAAGAGCATTCATGAATCTCAATCCTCACCGATCTAGCAAGATGAAGTGCATTTTGTTTGCATCAACCTAGCCAAGGGAAGGTGTACATTAAATTGGAACAATCATTTGCATCCATTGATGATTTTTACAAAGACATTAGAAGCTATGGGGTTCAAAATATGTACAAATTGACATTTAAAGAAGGGATAAGGGTCAGATAGGGCCTCGAACTCGAAAAAAAATGTCAAACAAGGTCATATTTCGGATGCTCTGTCTGGCCGACGCCATTTGGGGCGGTTCCCGATGGAATTTTTTGATGAAATTTTTTGAGCATCTTCCTCATTAAGTCTAGTTTACCCATACCAAATTTCAGCTAAAAATTCAACCGGGAAGGTAGTCAAATAATTTTCCGAAATGTACGGCGTTGTTTAACTTCACAGTTATCTTCAAAAATTCATTTGACTACCTTCCCGGTTGAGTTTTTAGCTGAAATTTGGTATGAGTAAAATAGACTTAATGAGGAAGATGCTCAAAAAATTTCATCAAAAAATTCCATCGGGAACCGCCCCAAATGGCGTCGGCCAGACAGAGCATCCGAAATATGACCTTATTTGACATTTTTTTTCGAGTTCGAGGCCCTATCTGACCCTTATCCCTTTAAAGAAAGATAAAGAAAATTTGTCGAATTAAACGTGTGAGAAATTGCTCGTGGCTTATATGCTGTTCTAGAAATTCTCCTATAAATTAAAAGATCATGTAAAACTTACGTTCACCAGCATAGTAAAAATGCATTTACGCTATCAAAATATTAATTCTTCTTTCAAACCCAGCCATAGATAAGCTCTTATAGGTAGAAATATTCTCGGAATGTTATACATATGTTTGGTTTGAATTAGATGGTGTAGTCATAATGTTAATTAAATACGTGTGAATGTGTTTACTTGTAACACTTTTTTGGAGAAACAAAGGAGCATAAAACATGGATGAATTTGAAAAGTAAACCACTAAAATATACGAAGTACGATAGTATATTGCATAAAAGAAGAAATTAAAAACAAGGGTATATATAGAAGCTAAGATATAGTACGTATTTTTTGTTGAAGGAGCAAACTCAAGCAAAAGTAGATTCACAGAGTGATCTGAAATCTGAGGAACTAGAGGAATAATATAATTTTGATACGTCGTATAAATTTACAATAATTCATTCTCAATTCAATGAACTTATTTATGATGCGCCATGCATCTACTTGTGTATGAAGTATATATTTGCCTACAATGATCGAGCACAACACTATATTGTTTTGACATATATCACTTCATATACTCCACTGCATACTTCCTCCCCCGATTAAACTTTTTATTTGACTTTATATAATGTTGTTTTAAATGAAAGTATACAATGAAATTAGTTTATTTTTAAATATCTAAAAATCTATACTTTTAAAATCTATAATACACTAAGATTTGAATAATACAATGAAATTATGTGTAATAAACTAATTTTAATTTTGAATAATTAATAATCAATTTTATAAATCTTAGCTCAAATGTGAAATTACGAGCTTAAACGGGGAACAGATGGAGCTTAAGTATGAATTTTTGGAAGCACCATGAGTCGGTCGTACCGGTTGCACAGTACAACACTACGTACAACTTATACCCCAATATCATTATTATATTATTTGCGTGAATTAAAAAAGTTCTTAGATTTATAAAAACAAAATACAATAAATAAGGTGATGGAATACCATAAAAGAAAAGGTGATGGAATAAATACCACTCCGAGCTTATCTCAACTTCTTAAAATTCCGGACAATCTTAAGTAGAGAGAACCTAAGGGTATGTTTGGGAGTCTGGAAGGAAGGGAAGGGGAAGACTTTGAAGTAATTGGGAGTTATAAAATTGGGACCCTTCTTTGTAATTGGGAAATGGAGAGGAAGGTGATGAAACCCTTCTTTGTAATTGGTAGTGATAAAATTAGAAGGGGAGAGTTTTTGAAGGAATTATAATTAAAATCACTTTGAGATATGATAAATTTAAATCATTGAGCTAATATTCATTTTTTATTTAGCTTAAATTACCATCTTGTTAATTATCTTTCAAAACCTTCCAAATTGGGGGAATTTAAAAATTGAGTAATTATTGGAGGGTTTTGAAGGGTTACAAAAGCCCTCCAAAAGCGTCCCTCCAATTTTTTAAACTCCCAAACATGAAAAGGAGGATCATAAACCCCATTAACCTTCCCCTCCCTCTAAAACCCAACTCCCAAACACAACCCAAAGAAAATTGCACCTTGACATTCGGAGTGGTGATTAGAGCATCTTCAATGGTAAAATGTGCACGGTGCACATGTGGCATGAGAGATAACCACATAAATGCTAGAAAATAAATTATTTCTCTCCTTATTTGAATAATTTTTTTCAGTTTTGGTAAGTTTTTCTCCACAATGTCAAGGAGACCGTCTAGATTTGACATTGCAGTTGACATTGCAGGAAAAAACATACCAAAATTGTATAAAATCATTCAAATAAGGAGAGAGATAATTTATTTGCTAATATTTATGTGGCTATATCTTATGCCACATGTGCACCGTGCACATTCTAACATTGGTGATGCTCTTAGAATGTAGAATTTAAGAAATTTTTACTTCTTGTGGTTCTCAAACTTGACAAGATCCAAGAAAATCTCTTGATTTTTTTTATAAGGATTCAACTAGTTTAATAAATACGTAGTAGTAAAGTTAGTTTAGTAAAATAATAAAACATTATACAGGACTCTGAGTTATTCAGCTATTAGATTAACCTCTTAGGACGAAATCCTAAGACTCAATATGATATTACAGCCAAGTCCGATTACGATTTGACATCTTGTTTAACATTTATGATTAAGGATAACTTGTTAAATGTCTGTTTAATCCATTTATACACTACGATATTATTCAGTCCGGTTTGAGTTGATGGAGCGTGTTAAAGTATTTATCTCACAATAGAACACTATAAAACAATAAAAACACTATATTAGACAATATGTTACTCTATCTTCATATCAGATTCACCTTTTAGCATAGAATAATAACACCTATCAAGTGATTTGTAAGCAAAACTTACAAGTACCACACATCTTAAACTAATATAATTAATTAGTCGGTTAATTAGTGGTGTGTCTTGATGGATGATTGTGCCACCTTTTAGATTGAACACGAATATTTTATGCCTAAGCTATGGTGTAAGTGTGTAACTTGTGGTGTCCATATACCCGACCGTCGCAGGTATTAGATTCAACTACATACTTATGAGTGGATCAAGACACACCACTAAGGTTTTGTATTATTCAAAACGAATTATTATCCACTTATACACTAACAGTAGAATGACCGCTGATCCAGTCTTAAACGCGCACTGAGATCACTAAATTGAAAGGTTTAACCAACTCAGCAACGCAATAATAAGTGCCAGTAGTGGAAAAGGACTTGACGCAAACATCATCACCTCGCAACACTTATCAAGTCCAAACTCCTACGATGTCCTAACCTAAGTTAATAGACTCCGTAAGAGATGGAAGAATCCGTGTTTTTATTTGGATTAAAAATTTCATCTATTCTGATCTCATGTGGTTTGATCTAATCTGAAAAATGGTTGATCTCTATATATTTTACAATTATTGAAGTCTGATATAGTCTGATCTGACCGGATCTGATCTAATTTGAGAGTGAATATAAGTTTAAAGTACAAATAATATTAGATAGAATTTCAAATTAATTAAACCACAGAATTGCAGGGGAGAGTTCAAATAAAAAGTACTCTTCCCGTGCAAAGTGTGAAAATTGCACTTTTACACGTTTCGCTTGCACTTTTGATTGTTTTCATTGCACTTTTTCACGATGAAGAAAAAATTTGGTTTATTTACAACACTGCCACCGTGATTTTGTCCGAATTTACCCAAAATCGAAAAGGCGAAAACGTGCTACAGAAACACGAAAAAGTACGAATGAAACGTGTAAAAGTGCAATTTTCGCACTTTGCACTGGAAAAGTACTTTTTATTTGAACTCTTCCCTAGAATTGTGAAACACTAGAAAGAAGCTGAAGTAGAAAGCCACAAGTGACTCATACATTTAACGGATAAATTACAAATAATTGTTTGGTGGTTTAATTTAGTACTCTATTAGAACCCGTTTACAAGTTAGGGAGTCTGTTGGGAATAACAGGATCGTGCTAATATGAGAGAAAAACACTTCTATTACTTTCAAGAATAGAAAGAAGAGACATATAAGCTCTAACTAAAAACTCTCAAAACAACCTCACATATCTCTCAAAGATATTTACAACTCTTCTTGGTTGTGCTATGATGATCTATACTAATTTACTTGTTGATAGAAAGACTCTCCAAACTCTCTATTTATAGCACCAAAACTAGGTACTAGGAAGGTGGAAGGAAGGTTTGTTGAAGCTAGGAGGAAGCTTCAATGGAGGTGTGAGGAAGGTGGTTCCTTGGTGTGAAGAAACTTCCCTTGTCATTCTTGCACATGGAGGAAGTTACATGGAAGCTAGGAACTGGATTCTTCAATTTGCTTGTACTTGGATATGACCTGGAAATTGAATTCTTCAATTCTCCCCTTCCGGACATATTCAAAACAAGCATCCCGACTATGTCTCTGCACAGCTCTAGCTTATCTCGTGTTACCACCTTTGTTAGCATGTGTGATGGATTCTCCTTGGTGTTGATCTTCACTAGTCTCAACAGTTGTTCATCAATTATTGTCTCCCGTATCCAGTGATATCTAACATCAATATGCTTTGTACGAGAATGGTACATAGAGTTCTTGCTCAAGTCTAGAGCACTCTGACTGTCACAATGTATCTTGTACTCTTTCTGCTAGATCCCAAGTTCTTGGAGAAAACGCTTTAGCCACAACATTTTCTTACCTGCTTCAGCGGCAACAATGTATTCTGCTTCTGTTGTAGATAAAGCGACACACTCTTGCAATATTGATTGCCAAGAAACGGCTCCCCCTGCAAAAGTGTAGATATATCCTGAAGTAGACTTTCTACTATCAGTATATCCTGCCATATCAGCATCTGTGTAGCCTTCCAAGACTGGATCAGCTCCTCCGTAACAAAGACATAACTTTGTGGTACCTTTCAAGTACCTGAGAATCCATTTGACTGCATCCCAATGCTCCTTCCCGGGGTTAGAGAGAAAACGACTCACTGTACCCACTGCTTGTACGATGTTTGGCCTTGTGCATACCATGACATACATCAAACTCCCAACTGCTGAAGAATATGGAATTGCTGACATCTCCCCAATCTCTTCCTTGGATATAGGGCATGTTCTTTTTCTCAACTTGAAGTGATTCACAAGTGGAACACTTACTGGTTTGGCATCATTCATGTTGAATCTCTCAAGTACTCGTTCAATGTACTTCTCCTGAGATAGCCATAACTTGCGATTCTTCCTTTCTCGAGTGATCTGCATCCCAAGAATCTGTTGAGTCGATCCTAAGTCTTTCATATCAAAAGACTTAGAGAGTTCTTTCTTCAGCTGGTTTATCTTCACTGCATCTTTCCCAACGATCCACATGTCGTCTACATATAGTAGAAGAGCAATGAAGGTACCGTCTGGAAGTTTCTTGATGTATACACACTCATCTGCAGGAGTCTTCTTGTAGCCTTGACTATTCATGCATGAGTCAAACTTCTTATTCCACTGCCTTGGTGCCTGCTTCAAGCCACACAAAGTTATCATTTGAGTTCTCAAAACCTTCCGACTGCTACATGTAGATTTCTTCTTTCAAATCTCCGTGAAGAAATGATGTCTGCACATCCATCTGTTCAAGCTCCAAGTTCATACTTACTGCCAAGCCAAGTATAACTCGGATTGAGGTCATCTTGACAACAGGTGCAAAGATCTCATCAAAGTCAATTCCTTTCTTTTGCTGGAACCCTTTGACAACCAACCGAGATTTGTGTTTCACCACTTTTCTGCTTGCATTCTTCTTCAGCTTGAATACCCATTTGTTCCTCAGAGCTTTCTTCCCTTTAGGAAGTTCTACGATCTCATAGGTTTGATTTTTCTACAGAAATTCTAACTAATCCTGCATTGCTATTAGCCATTTTTTTTTTATCCTTATGAGATACAGCTTCTTGAAAACTCTTTGGTTCTCCATCTTTAGTTAACAAAAGATATTCGGATGATGTGTTCCTTGTCGATGGTATATGCCCTCGTTCAGATCTACGTACAGTAGGA